AATGGAGTCCATCGTATGCCTCTTAATGTCCTGTCTACTGTGTTTTTTAGTATCCAATCAATCACAAGGTTGAAGAGGAGGGATGATATAACACATCCCTGTCTTACACCTGTCTTTACTGGGAAAGATGTATTGTAATTTTTTATACAGCAGGAAAAGTCTTTATAGAACAGAGCAATTATGTTGACTAGTTTTTCTGGAATTCCATAATGTCATAATATTTTCCAAAGACTGTCTCCATGGACACTGTCAAAAGCTTTCTCAGAGTCCACAAAATTAATATATATACTTCTCTGCCATTCATTGCATTCGTAGAGTAAAGATGTGCTCAGTTGTTCCTCTGCCCTTTCTGAATCCTGCTAGTTCCACTAGTAGGCATTTATCTACTTCCTTTGTGAGTCGCATTATGATGATTTTACAAACAATTTTGCTGAGAGTAGAGTTATTCCCCTCAAATTATTGCCGTCTGTTAAATCTCTTTTTTTGGGGAGATTTGGACTATTGTTCCTTCAGTCCAGTCATCAGGCAACACTTCTTTATCCCAAATAACCTTGAACAATGGTTCTAGAATGCTAGCAGTTGTGTTGGGATCTACTTTGAGAAGTTCTGCTAGCAGTTCGTCTTTGCCTGGTGCTTTGTTGTTCTTGAAAGTGTGGATAGCTTTAAGGATTTCTTGTTTGCTTGGTGGTTTAATAATAATGTCAAGGTCCTGAGAGGCTGGTTGAATATCTGGGGAATGTTCATGATCAGGTCTATTGAAGAGGTTGGAAAAGTGTTTAGTCCATTGCATGTTTTGTTTGTGTTCTGTAGTAAGGAGTTTGGCTTGATTATCTCTGATGGGCATGCTGTAGTAATTGTATCTGTTCCCGCAAATTTGTTGGGTAATTTTGTGTAGGGTTTGTAGATCATATGCTTTAGCATCATTTTCTGCTGTTTCTGCTAGATTTATTTAGTTCGCTATATTCTAACATTAGTTTGTCTTTCTGACGTTCTGATTGAGTGTGATTTATGAGGCTCTTTATTCTTGTTTGCTTGGCAATATAGTCCATGGTTTGACTACTTATCCATTCTTTGTGGTGTTGTTTCCTGGTTCCTAATATGCTTTTGCTGGTTGTTTTGTATGTTTCTTTGATCTGGTTCCATTTGTCTTGAATGCTGATTGTAGTTGGAGTGTCTGGGTCACCTGATAGAGTTTAAAATCTATTCTTGAGTTCTACTTTAAATTTTGTGGAAATATCTTTTCTCTTAAAAGGTTGACAGTGTAGTGTGTGCGTCTGTGTCTTAGCTTGTGTGTGCACTTTTTTTTAGTTTGAGGCGTAGTAGTTCAACTATAAGTTGCTGATCCCTACCCACATCTGCTCCCCTTTTGATACGCACATCGAGAAGGGACCCACGCCATTTTCTGTTTACCATGAAATTGTAGATCTGGTTTGCATCTCTTCCATTTGGGGATATTCCATGTAAGCTTGTGTATATTCTTGTGAGGGAACAGTGTTCCTCCTATAACAAGTCTATTCGCTGTGCAGAAGTCGCTCAGTCTTTCTCCGTTGTCATTAATTGTACCACATCCTTGTTTTCCCATTGATAATTCTCTATTCAAGTTGTTGTTACCAACTTTTGCATTGAGATCTCCCATAATGCATAGAATATCTTGGGCTGGTACTTTATCTACTACCTCTGGCAGTCTCCTAAAGAATGTTTCTTTATCTTTATCTCCAGCTTCATTAGTCAGTGCCTAGCATTGGATGATTGTGAGTTTGGCATGTTTCCCATTGAGTCGCGCTGTCGTAATTCTTTCATTGATTGGATGCCACAGTGCCACGCCTGCAGAATGTAGGTTATCCTCTCTGTGGCGATATGCAGATATAATAGAGAGGTCTATAATATTAAGACTTCCCTACAGCATGCCAGTGTCCGCAGTCTCAAGAAATGTTGGCTCGTGAAGTTATGAAAACTAGGGGGATGGCTCCGTGGAGTATAAGAGACTGTGACGTGGTCATGTGACAGGAGTCAGAAAGGTAAGACTAGCTCTGGATGTAGAAAGCTTCAGGCTAGTCTAGATATTCTGTCGCACACCCTCCTGTCAGTAGATATATGAGCCCCCAGAAAGATACGTATGGAAAGGATGAGAAAGGTATCTTTCACACTCTTTCTCTCCAAGCCGACTCTCACCGTAGTATACAAAAACTAGACGAGGTGGGTAAACAGGTAAAAATCATACATTGTAATAGTTATAATCCTAGTAGGTGATTGGCACAATAAAAGTTATCTTCCTCGGTGAGGAGTTAGTTTTGGAAGGCAGATTCAGGCTCGTGGGGCAACACAGTCACCTGATGCATCTTGTAGATGAAGTCTTTGGTGATTTGGTCTCCCGTCTGGTTGCTCCTCACGAATGGGAATTCTTCCCTCAAGGCTTGGATGCCAATAGTAAAAATAGGGGTCAAAGCCCATAGAATTCCACTCACAGTGGTTAATAATTAATAAGGTTCATAACACAACTTGCCATCCAGTGGCTTACAGTAATACCAATGTAGAACTTTCTTTGTTGTGGTTATGTCGTGGCACAGCCGGGCCCCTCGTCTGAATGAAATACACTCTTAACCTAACGAGATTGTGTCAGATGTTAAAGACTACAAATCTCCGAAAATCGTCTAGTTCTAACAGCGACTAGAGTTGAAGAGGACGGTAGTGAGATTTTCCCCGGAACTAGCTCCTGTGCGCATGACGTCTCCGAATTGGTTCTAGGTGCGCACATCATCATCATCTGTAGTGAGGATTGTTGCTAATGACGCTATCCCTGTGCTCCTTTCTAGTTTGCGGCACTCGGGAATTCCCCGACGGTATGTGCATTGACGTTAGTGTCTCATATCGTAGACGCTAATCTGATCTTTCGTTGTACTGCACTTGTGTGTATATTATGACGTTGTTTGTTTACATGTACTGCCGATAGGTATGTACGATGTGTCGGAGCAAGCTATGTCCCACGCACTAGAATAAATTATGGTTTCTCCTGTACCTGTCGTGGATTGTCCAAACCCTGTCCACCTGCTTTCACTGATTCCAAGAATTTGCAGTTTATAGTTCTGCATTTCTATAATTACTTGGGCGGTTTTGGCCGTTTCAAACATGGTTCTTACATTCCAGAAGCCAGTTCTTAATTTGGTTT